CATAGATAAAAACAAACACATCAGCGGCAACTGATTATGAAATACAATTTTAAATTCCTAAAAAGCAAATATTAGAAAGCAGTTTGTGATGTGTGTGTGTGAATAAAAATCATAATATGCTAAAAGTGATCAAAGATTGAGATTGAGAGTTTATTAAGGTGTACGAATACATTCGGAAACGTGATTTTAAAAAAGTGCTTAAATGGATAATTTTCCTGATATTTAGTGTCACTTAGATTCGAGAACACATGTATAAAATTGTTTTAAGGACATTTTGATAAAAAAAATTTATTTAAATACAATATTTCGGTGAAAAATGAACTTAGAATAACCTTTTTTCAAAATGTCTCCTTTTGTGAAAAATGCTTCTATTATAATAATATTTTGCCTGTATATAACTCAAATCTCCGTACAGAGGCGCAACTACGATTTTTGAATTTTTGAAAAATTCACATTATTTTCACAGTTATAACCCATTGAAATATTTATCGGCGTTTTTTTCTTAAAATTGCTCCCTCTGTTGTCGTAAATACGAATAAACCCACTTTTGTTATATATTTCAAAAATTCTAGTTGAGCCTCTGTACAGAGGTCTGAGCTATATGCAGGCAAAATATTATTATGTGATAGAAGTACTTTTCACAAAAGGAGAATATTTTGAAAATGGGTCATTCTATGTTCATTTTTTATCAAAATATTGTGCTTAAATAATTTTTTTTATTGTAATACTATTCTTAAAACAATTTTATATACATTTTCGAATCCAAGTGACACTAAATATAAATATTATCCATTTATACGCTTTTGCAAAATAACAAATAACGGTTCCGAATGTAGTCGGATACCTTAACGTTGCATTTAAAGCACAATGAAGGCTATTGGTGACAGAACTCGTAATTTTGACCCCTGGTCAAGTGATGAGGACGACACCTGAGCTGATACTCTTTCTCCAAACTACCATCCCAAGCCTACAGGAGTACTTCGAGCCTCGACAAATTTAATGCGTATCATCCCCTCTACACGGTATATCTTCAGTGGCATTGGGCTCGAACTCATGATATGCCGGCAATTACTCCGTGACAATGACCACTAGATTATCATACCCTTAAAAGAAATTTTTAATTAATGTGAAGAGTATTTTTATACACATAAATATTTAGGAATGCATAAAATTAGAAGTAGGATGTTAAAAATGCCAAAATATGTATTTCACATGAAAAATAAAATACAAATGAATGCATATGCAGTCAAAACTCTATATTGCAAATTTTTCTATATTCTGAACTTTTCCAGGAACTAAGAACATTTCACGAATTTCTTTCTAAAATTACCTCCCAATATCGAAGTGCATTTCCTATATAACGTTTTCTCTCATAATTCAATTTTTTCTCTCCCTATTTTTAAGGTATCCGACTACGTTCGGTCCCGTGATTTTGCAAAAGCGTATAAATGGATAATATTTATGATGTTTAGTGTCACTTAGATTGTAGAATCTATATAAAATTGTTTTAATAATAGTATTACAATAAAAAGTTATTTAAGTACAATATTTTGACAAAAAATAAACATAGAATGACCCATTTTCAAAACATTCTCCATTATGAAAAATGCTTCTAGTATAATATTTTGCCTGTATATAGCTCAGACCTCTCTACAGAGAATCAAATAGAATTTTTGAAATATATAACTTAGAAGTGGGTTTATCCATGTTTTACGACAACAGAGGGGAGAAATTTTAAGAAAAAATGCGGATAATATTTCAATGTGTTGTAACTCTGAAAATAATATGAATTTTTCAAAAATCATAGTTGAGCCTCTGTGAAGAGGTCTGAGCAATATACAAGCAAAATATTATTGTAATAGAAGCATTTTTTACAAAAGGAGAACATTTTGAAAAAATGTTATTCTAAGTTAATGTTTTGTCGGAATATTGTATTTAAATAATTTTTTTCGTCAAAATTTCCTTAAAACAATTTTATACATGTATTATAATCTAAATGACACTAAATATCATGAAAATTATCCATTTAGGCACTTTTTTAAAATCACGGTTCCGAACGTAGTCGGATACATTCAAGTATTTCTGGACATTTCAAGTTATCCTCCCTTTAAACACATTTTATGGAGATCATAAATCTTGAACTGGTTTAATTAGGGGCTTAACTCGCCAAGAGTAATATAATTCTATGCGTTTCATCCAAGAAGTGCAACCTTTAAAACCCATTGTCCAGTTCACTAGAAACATCTTTCATATTTCCTGACACCCTCAGTAATGTGTGTTTAAAATTTCTAGTTATAAAATAATGTATGTTTAAAATTACTTGAAGGCTTTAAATTAGAGAAAATATCCTTAAAATTCGTTAATTTTAAGATAAAATTATTTTCTTAATGTTGAAAATATATGTAGTGTAATCCTCGACATTCCTTTTTCATGTTTCACTTGGAGTTTTTCTTTCTTTTATAAATCGTACCCATAAAAAAATAGTTATTAATTTTCAAAAAGATGTGAATAATTAAAATTTTAATACATAGTGTATATGAATTTAAAACTTTGTTTTATGTGTCTTATAAAGTACATTGAAAGGTGAACCTAAATCTAACGAACTTTTTTTTCGTGTTTTAGCGACTTCGTTAAATAGAGGTCCGACTGTATTTATTGTTATTTTCAAACAGAATGTTTGGACGGAATTGTATCTTTCTATTATTCGAATTGTATATATCTTTCTATTATTCAAGTTATATTTTCATAATTATACAAACTGTATTTCTATTAGTAATGTGTTTGACATGTTCATTTATATGCTATACTTAATTTATATTCAATTCTTATTAGTATTCACAATTTCTATTTAATATTATTTTGTGTAAAATAATTAGTTACTTTCATGCCTTTTACCAACGCCATCGACTGTATATATCTTTTGTACGATTCTCCCCCCAACATGTTGTTTGTTTCGACTTGTTTGTGTGATATAATCTGTGTGGAGTGTTCAGTTCCTGTACTGTCCGTCGCTAGTAGAGGTTCTTGCAGGACAAAGCTTCTGGCATTTGTTTTTATCTTTTATACGCCAAATTAAAGTTGTTAAGTTTTAAAAGCAAGAGTCAGCTTTTAGTTCCATGTGGCGGACATTAATTGGTTCACCAGGTAAGGCGAAATCGAACTTTGATTGGAAATACAATTTGAATATATATATATATATATAATAGAAAGATACAATTCCATCAAAACCCAGAATGAAACTGTTGTGTGATGTGATGGAAATAAATGCAAAAATTATTTGCTGAAATTCCTTTCAGCAGAATTTTAATGAGAAAAATCTATATGGAACAGATGTAATTATAAACTGTGAATGTACAATTAATTATCATAGAGATGCACAGTTCATATCTGTATCTCTCTAATTATAATTTCAAGTGAAACAGAATTAAGTTACAGTTTCACAAATAACTTGAATGCATTCTATGAATTAATACATAATTTACATTCAATTTATAATTAATTATCCTTAAAGAAAGAAATTATCGATTCAGAGATATGCAACGAAAAAAATTATTCTCGACACATACTGTACAGGTATTAATGACTCAACTTAGTCATACTCGTATGTCGTGCACTTTATTACTCATAACAGTATATTACAGCAAAGAATTCTAAGCGAATCTCTGTAAATAATATGCACACATACAAAAAAAATATCCACCACATTCGAAAGATAAGATGAACTCATTATCCTCCTCCCCCTCCCCGACTAACATCTATAATCGAAATAAAATCTGGATCAATAACTGTGCATGCTTTGCAATGAAACCAACACTTTTGATAGAACTCGTCCCCCCTTCTTGGATGACGCAAGACTCTGGGGGTTTCGTTGTTGGTATAACTTCACAAAGACCTATCTCCATCTCAAACCGAAACAAACTCTATCCGCCACCCCGCTTCCAGCTCTAGCTTATTATTACCCGTCATGAGCAGGAAGTGAGGTTTGAGGACGAGAGTAACGTTCGATTGTGAAGCTCGTGCAATCCCCCAAAGTCGTCTGTCCGACTGAGATAAGGCGTCATTCAGGTCTACCTACCCCCCTTCAATCTTTACACCCCCTCTTCTCGGCATCCTAAATCTCTGGATAGCTCCTCGGATAGCTCACAATGATGCAGGCATGTTTGCCAGCGCGTTTGTTCTCCCCCCTACAGTTGATTTCACTGCACGAGTCATGTGAGTGCAGTGAAAACCTGTTTACATGGTAGAAAGGGCAATTTCTGATTATCTCTGCGTTTCATTGATATTCATTGGTTTGCATCGATTGCGATAAGGCAGGAAAAATGCCATTTGATTGAATGTAATATAGTTAGATTTGCATCGTGGTTGAAATTTCGATTGTCTTCGTAAATGCGTTCTAATGTTTTCAGCTTTTCCGTGATTGTAATTTAATTGTTTTAGTTCAGTTTATAACTTTTCATCGATGTCGTTCTCATTGCTTACACTAAAATTCCACGAATGCAGCTTTACTGCCAGGGGTGAGGAATATATTGTATTCAGATAAAAAGGAGATTTATGGTAATATTTACATTTTACCAACCCTTCTATATTGAATTTTTAAAAAGGAATTTCATACAATAAAACATCATTGGAAAACCTGTATAATCTATAAAGTCGACATTAATTCAAAATTTCGGCATTTTCACTTGAAAATGTTCAGAATAATTAATTTAATTTTTTTTATTATTGAATTGTTGTTTTGCGTTCCTTGCTTTTGTATTATTCAATTCCTACTATTAGTTCACTCTCTTCCAAAATATCTTGTTCAAATTTTCAATCGATCGATAAAATTAAATTCATTCATTCAAGTTCAAATACATTTTTTTTCAACTTATAGTGGAGGACACTTGATGTTAATACAGTTTTTTTCAAATATTAATTCATCAATTAAATTAAAAAATGAATAAATGGTAAACAAAAATAATAGTACAACAGCATATATAGAAAAGAAAATCATTCGTTGTGTCCCGGTAGCGCAATGGATGGCGCGCGTTAGACTTCTAATCCAAAGGTCGTGGGTTCAAATCCTACCTGGGATGGCCTAATTTCTGAGAATGTGATTTCTATTTACTATTTTATCAGAATAATTAAATTTAATTAATGAATAAATAGTAACAAACAAAAATAGTTCAACACCCTATATAGAAAGGAAAATTGATTCTATTTTGTCATTTAATATTGTGATTCTATCATGTGTATATATACATATTTATATTAATTGAAACTATTTATTTAATAAAAACTAAAGTAAAATTTTTCTTTGCTGACCTAAGTAGGATTTGACTTTAAAGAATTCTTTTCTTATATTCCCTGTTTAATTAAAGTCGCATTCTCTAAAGCAACGCGAATGATATTGGCGCCTGACCTCGTAATTCTGAACCTTGGTCTAGTCACGAAGACGACACCTGAGATCACACGCACAACACGCTAAGGGAAGAACTTTCAGCCTCGACAGATTTAACGCGCATTAGCTCCTTAACACGGTTGGTCTTTAGTGACACCAGGGCTCAAACTCACAATGCGTCGTCCTCGAGTTCGTGACCTTGAACACTTCCCTTTGGCGGCCATTTAAAACAAACGAAAGTACGTGCATGCTATACAACGTAATTTTAACAATACAGTCAATATGAATTATATATGACTGTGGAAGACAATACTGGAGAAGATGTCCAAATAAAAAGTGCACAGAATATAAACCGCTCGTAGTGAGTGAATATTAACATCGCACTATTCCGCTACACGAGGGCTTTTGACGACGGACCTCGTACTTTTGAATCACAGTAAGTTGGTGAGGACGATACCTGAGCTGGGACCCCTTCACTTAACTTAAACACGACACCAGCAGGAGGATATTTGAACCTCGATATATTTAACGTTATTAAACTCCTCTGCACGATGGGTCTTCAGCGGTACTATGCTCGAGCTCATGATATGACAGCCACGAGTCCGTGACTTTGACCACTGGGCTACCGCAGCCACAGGGTGAGATACAAATGAAAAATATAGAATGTAGGAATTGTTCGTAGGAAATTCCATAACCTTTCAATATTATGAAGTAGGTTGAGTGAATGAGTGAATATTAACGTCGTAGCAGCAACTCGGAGACTTTTTGTGACAGACCTCTAATTTTGAACCATGATCAAGTGTACGAGGTCCTCAGCTGACACCCATTTCCTAACTTTCACACCACAGCAACAGGAGGACGATTGAGCATCAGCAGATTTAACGGGCATCACCCTCCTGCACGGCAGATCTTCAACGGTACCAGGCTCGAACTCTTGACCACAAGGCTACCGCGGTCACTATGAAGTAGGTGGAAGGTCAAAGAAAATTGAACCGTGGGATTCTAGAATAACAGTATCAACAATTCGACTTTATATATATATATAGAGAGAGAGAGAGAGAGAGAGAGAGAGTGAGAGAAACGTTATTACCTTTTGTAAATATACATAGAAATTATTACCAAGGCAATTGTTACTACATGGTCCCTACATATAAATAAAAAAATACTTACGATAAATGTTTATAAAATTTACTTTCAATACTAATTTTTGTCTGAAAATTTTGCAATTTAGTCACGTTGATATATTCCCCTTTCCCTCCATTATTATTTCCCCACTGCAGGTAATGTACTGTTATATAAATAACTACTTTATTTAGATCTCAACAATAACTTATCAGTCAACTTCCACAAAAGATTCGTGAGAAGAATGCAGGACTTGACGATGTCATCCCCAACACGAGTCATGTACCCTTGTTGAATAAAATTGCCCACCGGCTCGGAAACATTCCGGTCCAGTTCCCTCTTTCGTCCACCCTGATGTAATGGATCCCTCATGAGGTAGGAGACCCCCTGACTGTGCCAATCATCAGTTATGATAGATCGCCTGTTGGGTCCTCATTCATTGTCGCCCTGGGAGGGTCTTGTCGTCAACGCCTTCACCCTATGTGGACGCGCTTACCAAAATGCACAATCCCCCTCCCCAAGGGATCAAATGTGTTAATAAGTGTTATTAACCTATTTTGACTTCTCCCGTTTTCATTGTAGTTCTGAGTTTATTTGGAATTAATGCTTACTTTTGAAGCAGTTTAATGTTAATCGCAGTATCATCAAAGTGATGTACAGCAATGAATTGTGTATTAAGGCCCTTTTAGCCTTAGTTTACAAATAAAGAATATATATTATAGATTGGATTTTAAAAAATGCTAACTAAAAGAGTACAAAAAGATAATGAAAAGTACATTCATTATACCAAAAGATACTAGGGTTTATAGCCCCGGGATTTAATTTTCGTCTAAATCATATTTTAAAAAATTTGAAATATTCAAAATAAATATTCTAAAAAGTTAATTCCTAGAAAATTTATATTTTGCTTATGAAATATTTGCGTAGAATTTTTTAGTGCAAGTATAAGTGTTGTGGAAGGGGAAGAGAGGCGGGAGATTCCTGACCCTCCCCCAGGGTGTCCTCCCTCAAAATTGGGGTGGAACCGAGCGAAATCGCAGTGTCACCTATATGGTGCTCAAGGCTACGGCCAACGACAGGCATACATCTAGCCCCTTACCATGATGAATGTCATGGGCCTGAATCTGACGCAGTCGAAATCAGGTGGCATAAGAAACAACAAAACTTAAGTAAAAAAAGTGCTATAAGTAAGTAGCTCTCATTTCTCGAGTGGGAGAATGTCGTATAGATTTAAGTGGTTCACTGCAATATTTACACAATAATGTAAGCAACATCTCCAGAATAGGTTTTGTCACAGTTCCTTCAATTAAATGCCGCTAATTTCTAGCGGACCTGCTTGAAGAACTTGGGACACTAGAAAAACAATTGCATTACTAACAATTTATGCAACTGGATGTTTTATTTCAAATAAGGTAACAATTGAAATTGATTCACATTCTGATTCAACTCGATCAATTTATACACAAAAACGATAATGTGTAGAAGAACTAGATAAAGTTATCAAAGAGGTATATATGCACCCCAATGCAGTCAATTGGATTTGAGACACTTTCATCAAAATTCAAGAAATGCCTCTTTTTTTATAAATGGAAGGAGACGTGGTGACTACCATAAAAGAACATACTCCTATTTAATGACGATAGCACCTACTAGTATAGAATCCGAACGAGCATTTTCTTCGACATGACATTTTGTAAGAAAAATAAGAGACCATTTGAACGATGAAACGCTGGCCCTTGCGCCATTAAAATTCACTATCATCATCATCAACAACGATGAAACGCTGGACGAGCTGTGTTTTTTAAAATCTTATTTACAGAAACAAAAGAAATGAAGTGTGTTTTTTTTTTAAATTTCATTATGTAATATTTTTATTTGTTTTTTATGATGAATTTTTTTTATTTATTTCAAAAAATTTATATTAAACCCATTTTTAATTTCATTTTCAGTTTTATTGTGCAATTTCAACTATGCTACTATAATGTGGGAGTATTACTAATAAACAGTCCAATTCAAATCCCGAGATTAAGAATATAACCCTAAAATAACCCCCCACCACCACCACCACAGGATTGCAAACTCTAAAAGATACGAAAAATACATGTATATTTTGATTTGAACAAAAGGTATCTCTGAAGGTAGAAAAAAGTTAATAGCAATTTAAATAGTAATTTTGAATTTTAGATCAGGAACAATGGCGCTGTTACCTCACTCTCTGAACTTCCTCATCACTTCAAATGCGGAAAAAATTTGGAGCTTATTAGACCCCATTATTTCACACGACACAGCAAATAGTAAACACATGGATAATGCGGGCGCAATTTTATTTCCGAATGAGTCTTTATCAACGCCGCATTATAAAGCAAACGAGGGCTTTTGACGACGGACCACGTAATTTTGAACCATGGTCAAGTGACGTGGACGACACCTGAGCTGGCACCCCCTTTCCTAACTACCACACCAACGAGAGGACGTTTCAGCTCTCGACAGATTTAACGTGCATCGCTGCCCTCCATGGCAGGTCTTGAGTGGTACTGGGCTCGAACTCATGACATGCCTGCCATAATCCGATACCTTGACCACTGGGCTACCGCAGCCCCACACGGTGTTGTATGACTATGTAAGTTATTCGTATCAAATATCTAGCATTAATATTTCGATTGTATTCAGTATATATTCTTGCAGCCATCGTTTCTTGATTTAAAAAGGACTGGATTTGAATTTCTGTAAAGGAAAATATTTGCTATTATATCCCCTCAACTTCTTTCGGGTGTTGATTTTCACAGTACCCGTACATAGCGAATCTCTTCTCATCAAAAGAAACATGCCTGTTAAATTTCAAGTCTGGGAGTCTAATAGATCTGAAGATCTCGTGATGTGTGAGTGAATGAGTCTTTTCTTGTAGAAAAAGAGATTATGAAAACACAAAACGATTATTTTTTTCTTGTATACTTTACCCCCTTAAAGTATCCATTGACCCCGATTGGGAAACTCTACACTGGAGCAACATGTATACTATTGGAACAGAGTTCGTTATAGGAAACCAGATTCAAATGACTGGGATGACATTCGGACCGACATCTCCTTTTGCCAACTCCCACATATTGCATTTAACCCTCTGACCGCAACATCCGTTTCTCAGATGGAGATTATTTGCTTTGATGCATGTAGATATCGCTGTGGTGTGATTTTTGGGGTGGGCTGCCTTGACATCTTCAGTTGGACTCTACCCAGTGAGAGGATTACGAGGTGGTACATGGCGATTTTTTTCAACTCACGATATGTGCGATTTTTCTTATCTATCACCCTCTATCAGACGGATATTAATTTAGTTTTTTCGTGTTTGGTATTATTATTTTTAATTACTTTTCCGTGAATATAAATAAGTTTTAATCAGTTTTTATAAAAATACTAGTCACAATTCTAGTGATAAAAATATATCGTTGTGCTTGATTTAACCCCCCACATCTTATTTGAGCCCTACTCAATTTCATGAGCTATAAGGACATTTAAAACAGTCCTTAAGGTAATAAAATTCAAAAAAAATTATACGCACCCGTCTGTCAGACGGAT